CCTCCACCTCCCCTACCTCTGCTCCCAGCAGCCTCTTGTGCCCCCTTCTCCTGGCTTCCTCTTAGTTGATGCAGGTCTCTGTCCTGTTCTGACCCATTTTGCACAAACATTCCTTTCACTTTGGCTGGTTTAGAAACAAAAGCTACAGCCTTTCCCCTGCTGTTAATTTTGGCCACACGTCGAGGAGCATTTCCTGAGTAAATTGAGGGGTTTCGTGCTGTTGTCTTCAGAGTTCAGGGCAGCCCCCCCCCCCCCCCGGATGCCCTAGAAGAGGTCCTAGGCACATGGACTTAGAGCTCAGGACCTCTGACTCTGTCCCGTCTGGAAGGAGGCAGATGGTGAGGGGGGGAGGTGACCTCCTCTGCCCATCCCAGGTACTGCTCGTCCTCCGTCCAGGAACTCAGACCCCTGGGCCCTCTGACCGCTTTGCCCTGTTCCCAGATCCTTGATGACGGACAGTCCCCCAAGCATAGCCAGGGCCAGAGCCGGGCTGTCCGGGAGTGGAGTGTGCAGCAAGTGTCCCAGTGGCTCCGGAGCCTGAACATGGAGCAGTATGTGGCTGAGTTTAGCGCCCAGAGTGTCAGCGGGGAGCAGCTTCTGCAGCTGGATGGCAATAAGCTCAAGGTGAGGACGGGGAGGGCGGCCAATGGCCAGGACCACCAGGACAGGCCACAAGGTGCGAATCCTCCCCAGCCTGTCAACCCTGGCCAATAGTCATCCTGCTGCCCTGGGCATCTTCCCATGAGCCTCTTCCCTCTTCCCGGGGTGGGCACTGACCTCCCCGTTTCCACTCCTCCCCTTCATTTCAGTGACACCTGTAGGTGTGATACCTAGGACCCAGGCAGCAGGCCTTCTGACCAGAGATGCTTCAGACATGCCCGTATCCTAGTGCTCATCTTCAGGAGCAAAGTTGTGAGGTCCCCCAGTCCCATCAGCATTTATTAAGCGTCCGCTACGTGCCAGGGACTGAGCTGAGCGCCATCTCTGCCCTCAGGAAGCTTCCAGTCTAATGGGGGGAGGCGGGAATGGGAAAAGGCATTTTCTGCTAGAGGCAAGAGGGAGGCAAATGGAAGGAAGGTGGCTGATCTGAGTCCAGCCCCTGCCCTCTGTGAAGGAAGGCATCGGGAGGAGTTGGGACTCCATCCTCCTATCAAAAGAGGCTGTGGAGGTCGGCTTGCCCCGCCCTCCTCCCAGGACTGGTAACAAAACCTCTGGTCCCCCTCTGCTGCCGACAGGCGTGCCTTTTGGACTGGCCGCTAGGGGGCGCCAGAGCGCACAGAGCGCTGAACTTGGAGCACTGACCAGCTGCGGGAACTGGGACAGATTAGGTCGCCTCTGGCTGCCCCAGCTTCCTCGTCTGCAGAATGGGGTTAGCGGCAGCGCCCACCTCCCAGGCTTGTGGCGAGGACCCGACAGAGAGCGTCGAGTCCTTTGCAAACCCTCCAGCACTCTAGGGATGCTGGCTGTGGGGCCTGAACCCCCGAGAGCTCGGAGAAGCTTTGGCCAGCTCCGGAGGGGAGGCAGAAGGAAGCGGGCGTCCAGCCTCTTCGGGGCCGGCTGAGCGGCTGCTTCAGGGCTGGGGGGCGGGCCCTGACGGCTCACTGCCGCCTTGCTTTGCCAGGCCCTCGGGGTGACGTCGTCCCAGGACAGAGCCCTCATCAAGAAGCAGCTCAAGGACATGAAGGCGGCCCTGGAGAAGGCCCGTAAAGCGCAGGAGAAAATGGAGAAGCAGCGGGAGAAGTTGCGGAAGAAGGAGCAGCAGAGGAAAGCCCGGAGGGCCGAGCCTGCGTCCCCAGAGCCGCCGGAGGGCGCCAGTGAGCAGTGAGGCCGGGGTGCCTGCCTCCCTCCCTCCCTGCGGGAGACTGGCTCTGGCCCGCCTCCGCCCGGGGCTTCCTGCAATAACTGACTGTGTGTGCTCTCCATCTCCATCCCTGGGAGGATCCCAAAGCACCTTGGGTTGTCACCACGGAGATCCTCACGTGGAAGAGAAACAGAAGGGACCCTGGGGATGTGGGGGGCCTCTTGTCCCTGAGGAAGCTGGGGTCAGGGACTCCTCCGGGCCTCCCTTTTCTCCGGGAGCACGTGAGGACATGCTGGAGAGCCAGGCAGGGCCTGGGCAGGGCTGGCATCCATGGCCGCCTCTCTGGCTGCAGAAAGGGAGGCTCGTCCTCTCCAGCTGTCCTTCAAGCCCGAGAGGAAGCCAGAGCCTTAAAGCAGAGCCGTGGCAGGCAGCTCAGGGTGGTCTCCAGGGAGGGGAAGGAGCACGGCTTCCTGGACAGCCCCGGGCACCCAGATCCCCCATCCTGTGCCCCTTTTCCCCGACCAGCTGGTCAGCTGTGCTGACAAGCCCCCCACACTCCCTCATCCCCAACAAAGTCTGAACAGGAGATTTCTTTTGCCCCAAGTCAGGACGCCCCTGGAACAGCCTGGCTGGGCCATGACTGAGGACTTCTTGTCTTTCTTTTCTACTGGAAATTTTCCACGGGTTTGGGCTTAGAGAGTGTTTCGAATCCAATGCTTTGGAGAGACATGGGAGTACCCAGTGTGAAGGGCAGACCAAGGACCCCTCCTCTGACGTGGGGAGGCTGCGGGGGCTGCTTGGGTGATGGGCCGGCCGTGAGCAGAGCAGAGCAGAGAGGGGCTGAGCCCAGCAGGGCTGGCTCTGGTGACCATGGGCTGGGTCTTCATTTGATATCAATGAGCAAGGAGGGGGCTGGGGGCTGGGAAGGTAAACGTACATATTGGGAAAAGTAGGGAGGGGGTTTCGCCGTATAACCACTGCTTGCTGTGTCTGGCTGCTGTGCCGCATGCTCCTTGACCCTTGAGAAGGGGACCTCCCCCCAGGGACCTGTGTCCTCGCCTCTCCTGGCTTCGTGCTTTGCTGATTTACTCGGGGCTGGAACTGAGGAAGGGGCCGGCCTTGTCATCCCTGCAAGTCCCTCTTCTAGGCATTACGGAGGCTGAGGCTGCTCCATGCTGGGCAGAGATGGGATGTGTCTGGTCTCCCTGCAGTGATGTTGAGATGCCAGCGCCTCAGGGTGTGTGTGTGCCTATCTGTCTTCTTCGGGATCGGAGGGGCCACAGGCCGGGATCGTGTCCTCAAAGAGAAGACATTACCCCAGGGACTTTCTGGGGGCATTTTGGCTTCTGGAAAGGTGGCCCATTTGGGCCCTTTCAAGTCCTATTTAGGTGAGAAAAAGGAAGCTGAGCTGAACTGGCTTTTTCACTGTGATGCCTGAGCTCTGGGGTGGGACATGTGAGAGTCATTGCTTTGCCTTCAGGCGCATTAGTCTGGGAATGGGAGTGGGCAGCAGCTGGCAGTGAAGTGGGCACCTGATGTCCCTGTGGTGCTTCCTGGGAAGCCTGTTGACCACTCGAGGACCAGCAGCCTTTGGCCAGGCAGAGAATGGGGGCTGGCTAAGCTCCTGAAGATGTCTCCCCAGCACCTGGGCAAGGTGTTGGGAATCAGCAACAACTGAACCGTGAGGGCAGTTCCCTGAGATTTACAGCCTCAGAGTAAAAAATGTAGAGGCTGAGGCACATTTTGGCACAGGTGGCCTCATTCCCTATAGGAAGGCCTCTTGCCTAGAGTCATGGCAAACTCTCCAGAGATTTCTCAGCTTACATACCAAGAGCATGGAGGGGGGAAGCTCAGAGGTTTCACCATGGAAGAATTTGGCACCGTGGACACACGATCCTCCATCCGTTCTTGGGTACAGCATCACACACAGGCTTAGGGTTGAGAGGAACCGTAGAGACCACCAAGACCCCTCAGAGAAGGGAACCTCACCAGGTCCTGCAGAGGTTCCCAGGCCACACAGCTTGTGAGTGTCCGGGATACGAGCTCTGCTCTTTGTGACCCCACACCCTGTGCCCCAGCCACCTCTCCAGGTTGCTGCTGAGTTGGGAAATTTCCCTCCCCATTTCTTTTTTTTTTTTTTAATGCAATTGGGGTTAAGTGACTTGCCCAGGGTCACACAGCTAGTAAGTGTCAAGTGTTTGGTCTGAGGCTGGATTTGAACTCAGGTCCTCCTGACTTCAGGGCCAGTGCTCTATCCACTGCACCACCTAGCTGCCCAATCCCTCCCCATTTCTGAGTTTGACTCTATTCCTTCATTTCCTCTCTGCCAGTCTCAAGAGCACTGCCATAAGAATATAGGGTGGGGATGGAGCCCTTTAAGGGGCTGCGGGCATCTGGTCCCCATCAACCCCCTTTCCCAAGTATCACAGAACTTCTTACCCCATCACAGGCACCAAACAGGAGGATTTGGGACCCTTTTGCCCAAAATGCTGGTGAGATTTCTTCTTTGTCTGAAGAGACACCTCAAAGCTAGAGGAGAGGAAAGCAAGAGTGAGTGTCCAAGGGTGGAAACCACTTCAGGCAGTGTGGCCAGTGTGGGGCTCACTGGGGACCGAGGAAGTTGGCTGGGTACAAGGTGAGGGATGCTTGGTCCTCACCTGGATTCATGTTTTTTCTTCGGGGGAGTCATTACACAGTTTCCCCTTCTGCACAGTGAGGAGGCTGGAGGAGATGACCTGTCTTGGAAATCTGGCCTTGTCCCATGAGCCAGTCAGCATTTACAGTGCCAGTGTGCCCCCTAAGTTTCCCATTGATTCGCATCAGAAGCATTGAATTGGAAATGGAAAAAGGGAATCTACCGGATTCCCTATTCAAATCTCAAAGTGATGTCTTGGGCCTTTGGAAGAAGCAGCATTGGCTTAGACCTGGGGTGCCTCTCCCAGCATGAGTTCTTGGCATGTTCTGTTGCTTGTGAATCCCTCATTGGGTTCCTGGTGATGAAGGAAAGCAGATTCCCCAGGGGTTCACTCAGGAGCCATGGTCTCCCAACCTGGTGGGAAATAGGTGTCTGGAAGCCAGATGCCCAAGCTGAGAGGGTTATAAGATCTCTTAGTCACTCTGTCTCTGGAGTGGCTGTGAGACTGTGGCTCACCTTGAGGCACTGAAGGTTAATGTTGGGGGGCTAGGGCTATAGGACAGCATCCAAGCTGGCAGACACCACAGGGCCTTCACACTCTCACCCCAGGGGTGGAGGCAAGTGGCCCTTCTCCTTGGTCTCACATAATTAGTCTCAGGAAGTCATCTTGGTCTAAAATCCATCTGCCTCTGCCCCACTTGGGGTTTGAAATTCCCAGAAGAACAAGCCCAGTAACAGGACCCATGTGACCAGGCTGCCATTCCAGGAACCCACAGAGTGAGAGTGATGCCTTGACAGAGTATCCTCTGCTAACGGTGGGGCTGGAGGAGGCACTAGTGCAGAGATGAGGGGCACTGTCTGGAGTGAGATGCAGAAGAGATGGTGACCGTGGCACATGCCATGACAGTGTTATGTGGATATGCAGTCCATCCTGAACCAAGCAAGGCATCCGTGAGGACATCTCTGATGGCTCCAGTATCTCAGCAGAGACATTCAAAGACATTCCAGCACCTTTTGAACACTTGTGCATTTTCATTAAAAGTGGTTTATGGGGGATTTGGGCAAATGGAAAGGTGTGAGGGCTTCAGAAATATGTGCTGCCCAGTGGACAAGAACTCCATGTGCTTTATCCATGTTGCTTCAAGATTTCCCTCTTGGCTGCCCAGTAGCAGGCAGTGTGGTGGGGAAACAAGGTTCCCCTGGCTGTCAATGAGGTGATTGTGTGGTGTGTGACACTCATGGATAGATGAGTGGGTGGACCTCATGTGGATGTGAGTGGTGTGTGTGGCGCTTGTGTGTGGTGGGTTGGTGGGTGGACTTCATGTGTATGTTAGTGGGATGTGTGTGTGGGTGGGGGGGTGGCTCGTGTGTTTAGGGGGTGCTCAAGCAGACACTGAGAGAAGGGCTCCTTTCCATTGTGTCTTTCGATGTTTTGATTTGCACACTCGTGTCTTCTGTTGATCTGTGGAAGAATTCAGTGTAAAGGGACACATGGCCACAAAGGATGATGCAGGGACCACAAGGCACTCACTGGAGGTCATACCCTGGAGCTCTAACTCAGTGCCCAACATTGTATGTTTCTCCCCCATCCCCCACCTAGGTCTATTTAATGTCATGACTACTGCTTTTGTACTTTTCAGTGCCCTGGCAATTCAATCCCTTAGAGTGACAAGTGCCACATTTTGCTAACAGATCATTGGGCAGCTCAGAAAGAGAGAAAAGATGGACTGTCCACTGTTTTAAAAAAAAAAAGTCATTTTTATTTTCATCTTTCTTTCGAATCGTATTGAAGGCAAACCAAGTGTTGAAGTAACTTCAAGTATGTGATAGCATGTTATCCAAAATTCTTAATTTGTACATCTTGATGTCTGCTCATTTGCATGGAAGAGTAAGTGTGCTGTGTCCAGGCCCATCCTCATCCTTGGCCCTCCATCGAGTGAGTGGGCCATCCTGTGCCCAGCTGTTGGTTTTCTGACCAATAGAGAAAGCACCCCGGGATTACATGTGATTCCCTGGTGTAAATAAACCTGCCCTTGAGTATTATTGTCATACAACGAATGAATGCAATAAAGAGCAGGCTTGAGATCTGTCCAAGGTGTTTTTGTCCTTGCTCGGGGCCCTAGCAGGGTCATTCCTCTGAAAGAGAGCCCAGGATGATAGGGCTGCAAGCCACACAGGGGCTCTAGGCAGGAAATGAACTCCTCCCCCTCCTCAGACAATGCTGCCTCCACCAGGGGTACCCAGAAAAACAAAGGGACCACCAGTAGCTGTGTAACTGCCATTTGGACACCACAAGTGATGGGCCATGTTCTGCGCTTGCCCAAAGTGCTTCATTTAAAATTGAGGGCGAAATGCCCAACCTTTCTACGTGGGCACACATCAGAGCTACAGAGCAGTCCATGCAGTGAGCCAGCAGGACAAGTTGTCTTGTCCCCATGAGATGGACACAGAATTGACTTGCTTGTGGTGTGGAACTTAAATCCAGGCCTTCTCATGCCTCATCTGGGCCTCTTCTCATTGTCCTCTCCATGACAAACTAGGTGAGATTCTGCACCTGTAGCCCTTCCACTTCTGAAGCAAAGGAAGAGATCTGCCCTTTTCAGGTCTTCCAGGAAATTTTTAAAGCAAATAAATGCTGTTTCTGGCTCACACCTAGGGTGGTTGTTCAGTCATTTAGTTGGGTTTGACTCTTTATGACCCCAAGCACCATAGCATTGCAGGCCCTTCTGTCTTTCACTATCTCTAAAAGTCTGTCCAGGGGCAGCTAGGTGGTGCAGTGGATAGAGCACTGGCCTTGGAGTCAGGAGGACCTGAATTTAAATATGGCCTCAGACACATAACATTTACTAGCTGTGTGACTCTGGGCAAGTCACTTAACCCCAATTACTTCACCAAAACAAACAAGCAAACAAACAAAAACAAAAAACCAAAGTCTATCCAAGCTCATGCTCATTGTTTTCATGACGCTACCTCTCCATCTCATCTGCCATCCCTTTCTCCTTTTGCCTTTGATTTTTCCCAGCATCAGAGTCTTTTCCAATGAGTCTCATCTTCTCATTATGTGGCCTAAGTATGCTTCAGCTGCAGTATTTGATCTTCCAGTGAATAGCCTGAATTGATTTCTTTAAGTATTGACTGATTTGATCTCCTTGCTGTCCAAGGGACTCTCAACAGTCTTCCCCAGCACCACAATTTGGAAGTGTCACATGTGCTTTCCTTATAGTCCAACGCTCACAGCCATACACGGCTACTGGAAAAACCATACCTTTGACTATATGGACCTTTGTTGGCAAGGTGATGTTTCTGCTTTTTAGTCTGCTGTCCAGATTTGCCACAGCTTTCCTTCCAAGGAACAAGTATCTTTTAATTTCGTGGCTGCAGTTGCCATCTGCAGTGATCGTGGAGCCCAAGAATATAAAATCTGACAGTGCTTCCATTTCTTCTCCCTCTATTTGTTGGGAAGTGATGGGACCAGTTGCCAAGATCTTAGATTTTTGATGTTAAGCTTCAAGCCAGCTTTTACACTCTCCTCTTTGATCCACATCAAGAGGCTTCTTAATTCCTCTTTACTTTCTGCCATCAGAATGGTGTCATCTGCATATCTGAGATTGTTGATATTTCTTCCAGCAACCTTAATTCCAGCTTTTGATTCATTCAGCCTGGCATTTTGCATGATGTACTCTGCATACGAGTTAAATAAATAAAGTGACAATATACAGCCTTGTACTCCTTTTGCACTCTTAAACTAATCAATTGTTTCATGTTTGGTTCTAACTGTTGCTTCTTGGTCCAAATACAGGTTCTTCAGGAAACAAACAAGATGATTTGGTACTCCCATCTCTGAGGGCTTGCCACATTTTGTTGTGATCCCCATAATCAAAGGCTTTCATGTACTCAATGAAGTTGAAGTAGATATTTTTCTGGGTCTCCCTTGCTTTCTCCATAGTCCAGTGAAGGTTGGCAATTTGGTTTCTAGTTCCTCTGCCTCTTTGAAAACCAGCCTGTTCTTCTGGTAATTCTCAATTCATATATTGCTAAAGCTGAACTTGTAGAATCTTAAGCACAACCTTGCTGGTGTGTGAAATGAGCCCAATTGTTGGGTAATTTGAACATTCCTTGGCATTACCCTCCTTTAGGATGGGGACATAAACTGATCTTTTTCAATCTAGTGGCCACTGTTAAGTTTTCCAAATTTGCTGGCATATTGAGTGCAGCATTTTAACAGCATTATCTTCAGATTTATAGACAACTGAGTCAAATTTATAAGAATACAAGTCATTCCCCCAACTGATAAATGGTTAAAGCATATGAACAGGCAGTTTTCGGAAATAGAAATCAAAGCTATCTATGGTTGTGTGAAAAAATGCTCTAAATCACTATTGATTAGAAAATTAAAACAACTCTGGGGTACTACTGCACACTTATCAGATTGGCTAATATGACAGAAAAGGAAAATCACAAATGTTGGAGAGGATGTGGGAAAACTG